ACAACACTTTTATTCGCCTGACGTTTCGATATCCGTCGCGGATTCTTCATCAATGACATCAGCAGAAAGCAATAGTTGGAGTCGCTGGTCTTCCAACTCAACAGACCTTAATTCTGGGCACGTTCATCGTCAGTGAAAGGTAGCAGGTGCTTACGTTCAAGGAGTGTCTCAACAGCATCTTCCGAGGCATACAATTTACGATGAAGGAGGAAGAGAACAGCCAGCTGGCCATCCTTGATGGCTTCGACTGTCGCAGAGATTGTGGTAGCCTAAAGACTACAGTATTCAGGAAAGCGAGAAACACGGCGCGAGTACTGAATTACAACGGCGACCACCCAATCAGGCACAAACGCAATTGCGTAAAAAAACTCTATCGGCGTATCGAGACGCACCGCAGTGAACCTGAGGACAAAGTTGCCGAAGTACAATACCCTTGACAGGTGTTCAGAAAAAATTACTACCCACGCAACTTCGTCAACCGGTGCTTGCTGAAACGAGATGGACAACAAAATCGCACCGACCCCAAAATTTGTAGAGCGGTCCCGTACGTCAAAAACGTCTCGGAGTCTGTCGGCAGCCTTCTCGGGCCACTTATAGTTGGAGTCACACACGGGCCGGCGGCAAGCATAGGGCGTCAGATAATGAAACCGAAAGACCCACTGCCACGGCAAGAAATATCTGGAGCCGTCTACAGGGTCTGGTGCAGTTGCAGACAAAGCAACTATCGCGGCTAAATTAGCAGATATCTCAAGACGCGAATTGCCGAACATACGGCAGCAGTGCAGCAAAATGATGCCAATTCTCAAGTTGCGGCTCATTCGACGAGATCCGGCCATGCATTCAAATTTTATGAGGCCGAAATTCTCGCAAGAAGTGAAAATCGGATCAGCCGAGAATTACTTGAGTCATGGTTTACGGGCCTCCAATCCATATTAAGTGCTGAGACTCAATGACCAAAGCAAGTTACCTCTTGTGGAACGCACAGTTCACCGCGTCGTCCTACGCCAACACCAGAGTGTCAGATGGCCGAACAATCATCATGCCGGAGTCCACCACGCAGAATGAAAGTTCGGCAAGTCAGAGCTCGCATGCCGGTCAAGTAGCCATCGACGCACATGAAGGCAATTATCTTTAATTGTCGTTATACGTTTGCAGTAATTACGATGTCCTATAAATACTGCAAGTTCCTATGCATAGGTAACCCGTTTCTGCTATTGCTTTCTACTGATGTCCCTGATGAAGTAGACGCGACGGAAACGAAACGAAAGAGCATAGCATTCCGGAGATGAAGGTCGAAAGGAAAGGTGACAATAATCGCTCTGGGCCGAATGGTGTGCTTTTATAGCCGGCAGACTAAAGGAATAGGTCACGTCTTGCAAGTGTAGTCACCAAGCACGAAACCGCAACAATTGCCACAGAGTAAATTAGAAAATATACAACGATAGTCGAATATACCGAGTAAAAGTAGCTACTGCTCTCTGACCATGTCTATGATGACGAATCCGCGACCGAGCTCGAAACGTCAGGCGAATAAAAGTATTGTCCCAGCGATCGAGTCTTCTTTTTCTCATTTACCCCCTGAGACTCGCAAGTTCGCTTGTATTGGCTATTCTAGTTTCCTTCCTTCTCAATGCAATGACCTTGCCATGCAGGCGGTATGAGAACGATGAGTTTTGATCGTAAGACTTTTAGTAACCCGGTTAAGCTCCACTTATTTCATTGTCCACGCAATTGTACAGGCTCGATCATGAATAGCTGAAAACAGAATTTTCCAGTCAAACCTAGAAATATTTGCGGAACATGGATGAATAACTGTTCAAGATATTTGTGCCTCAAAAATATCAAAGGATCAGACTGGAAGATTTTCTTTCCGCGTAATTTCGTGCGCTGGTAGACCCCTTAAAAGGCCGGCAGATCGAACAGTGCGAGAAGCTTTAGTAACTAGCTCGCGTCGAAGTGAACTTTCCCGAAGACCCACAGAAGTTGGTCTCGACGTCTGGGAACAGCCAATCACAGTTGCTGCAAGGTTGCTTTCTGGTCCGGAGACAAATGGCAAGCGTAAATGCTTTCTCTGTCCACTGGCCTTACTGCTTTCAAACTGGCACTTGGGACCCGCCCGGCATCCTGGCTGGTCGTATGCACCCAAGTCAAATTTCTTCCATCTACACAATATACTGTTCCTACTACTCTGGCCTCTGTTGACATCTCTTCTACTAAGGAACCATGGCCTGAAGATCGCAGACGATAACATATGTCCAAAACTAGTTGATACACGATCTTACTTGTACTTGTTATTTAGTAGCATTTAAAGAACTTCGGTCAATCTGCCCTCTTCTAGACATAAAATGGGATGCAGGGTTATCTTGGAGATTTGTGTTCTAGGTGACAGAGGAAAAATAACATACCTTACGGCGATCGATAAATAAACTGCGCTGTACAGTTATAAACAAGCTGAACGCGTTATTTTAGGACAAGGAAGCCGCAAGCTTAGTACAAATGCTGAAGGCTTACTCGAGCTGGGAGGCACTGGGCTATCCAACATATGAAGCACACCATTGCCTGCTGCCTTATCTGGTTCCGTGAAGGCGTGGGTATTTCCGCAAGAATCCTTGATTTTGGGCACCTCTTTGTTGTTGCCGTCAACAGTGCACACAACTTCGTTCTGTTGTCCATTCACTCGCTTCATGCGCTGTGAGCTCTTGGTAAGGTCCGAGGAGCACTGTTTTCCTTTGGTGACGTGGCTGGCCGCAATCTAAACATTTAAGACAATTGGCGCTTCTTAATATGAAATTAGTAGGAATGTACTGTAAAAAATTGAAAAAGAAACAACGGAAAGGATTATGCCAGACTTCCTGGCAGTCATCTACTGACTCTTCAAAGGAGCCTTATCAGAAACCGTACAGTAGGATTACGTGAACCGGATACTGGGACAAAAAGACAAAAGTTTTTTAAGGAAGTTTTTTTTCTTAATAGAGCTGGATAAATGGGCCTTTTTAGTTTTTCCCATAACTGACCTTCCCGAACGAAACTCTGATACCCTGGAGTCGCTCAGAAAAGTTTATATTTGCCCAGTTTTACAAAACAGGTATGCTTTTATATAATTTACTTAGACAAGATGCCGTATAGGGAAGCGAAGCAATAAATAAGAGCTAATGGTGTCAAGCAATTGCCACTGCTATTGACAATGAACGTATTGGTGCGTGAGATGATAGCAGTAATGAGAAAGATGATGATGAAAACGAAAATGAGGGCGCTGATGATGATTATGACCATGAATATGAGAATAACTATGTCTATCACCCTAAGAGGGTTGAGGAGGGTGACGAGGATAGGGGAGATAATAAATATTGGGAAAGTGTTCATGGCATGTGCAGTGGCGATGACAATGAGCATTATGAAGTCAGTCGGAGGACGACTTAAGGGGTAGGGGAAATGTAAGGAGAAAAGGAAGAACAGCAGATGGACTCTTATTTTCGGTCCCGAATTTGTTTAAGTAATTTAATGTTTTCACAACAAAATAGCATGCCATAAATAAACACCGAAATTTACTTGCATTTCTTACTTTCTTAGAGTTTATTGGGTGTGACCAATTTGGAAATTCTTTACTTACTCACGCTTTATATTTTATTGGGTTTCTTGATATTCCTGAAAAAATGGTGGTTTGGAGGTCGTCTATTTTTTACCTACCTGAATTACAACTTAACGTTCTGGAGTTAGCTCAATATAGTTCGCGGCGCTAAGCGCCGCGCGCACCTTCATTACACATGCTCAACAACTTAAAGTTAGTTTACTTTATTTGCTTCATGTAAGTTATGCATATTTAAGTTCAGTTTTCAGTTCATTAATATGTTTGCTATTTTATTTTACTTTTCGATTATTTTTAGTTAAGTGACTTTAGCTTACTTTAGTTTGCGATTTTTTGGTAGGTGATTTTTGTTTTAATTAATTATTTTTTAATTTATTTATTGCCCAATATCTGCATAATTGCGCTTTTTGTTGAAAAACAGTAAACTACTTAAAAAAATATTCCTGTTTTTTTCTATTTTTTATAAACCTTAATTTTTTTATTTTAATATTTCCTTTCCTTTTTATTGCCGAGACTGGATACTCTTTATTACACCCAGTCCTGTATAACAGAAGGATGGAGCTTTCGCGTGGTGATCTGGGACCTGAAGTAAGATTTTATCGAATAAGCTAACAAGAGTTAGTAAAAGAAGAAGAAGAAGAAGAAGAAGAAGAGGAAGAAGAAGAAATACTCAGGTGCCAGGCTCAAATTTACCTGTTGTATCGCCTCAGGACTTTTTCCCTGTTTCATTTGGCGCCAACTCTGAGCTGAGGGCGCAGTCACTGTGTACTGTGTAGGACCATCCGTATTCTCGAGGTCCCTTTGCAGATCCGGTGGAAGGTCGTTCGCGAATTCCTCAGTCTCGCTGTTTGACCGCAGCAGAGACATTAGAGAGGTCTTGTCCACGCCGCCGAGACCCTTTCGTGGAGTCAGGGGCTTATGGAAAAAAGGAAATTCGGAATAGTGAAGGAAGCTTTGGCACATAGTAATTGATAGTGAAGTCGTTTGAGGGTTGGTTTTTCAGTTGGTCGAATTTTTGCCTATCCAAACACAGCTTTTATTATGTAGACCAATAGGAGTTGCTCTAGTATTTTTTTTGATCAATATGCTTCCTTTCAGTCGTTTTTGTACTTTCCGCAACCTTTTCACCTACGTTTTTAGTTCAGTAAAACGATTACAAGGGGCTTTCATTTATGTTATAATATACACGTATCATGCATTAACTACACATTAATCGAGCATTAAGCCTTTAACCACGAATTTCGTTAGATACTTGGACTGGGACACTTTGACCATCAGGCGGCTCTACGATGAACCTTTACCAACACTTTCTTAAACTACTGCAAAACTTTCCTATAACTAAAGTTCATACTCATTCTCCCCTTAGTTTCCCCCCCTGACTTTAGGTTTACCTTCTGATGACTGTCTAAAAATGTATACGTGTTGCATTTGAGGTCCGGATCCTTCGCCAGATTTGGGTTCAGTAAGGGAAATGTTACAGTGGCACGAGTGGCAGTGTACCCAAGGACTATGCCCAGAAGCGCACGCGATTTGAGCCATGCGCGCAGACAAACAGCGTGCGCTAACATACGTTCCCACAGCGTGAGGAATTATCGATCAGCGTGTACTCGCGACGACCGCTCACACACAGCGTGGGATAATATCGATCAGTGTGCAGGACGGAACACCGGTCACACACCATAGGCCAAGATTGTTCCAGAAGGAGCAAAACCTTATAAATACGCTGGAGTGGACAAGCTAAAATATTCGTTGTCTTGGTGTTGTCCTGAATAAAGCCC